TACCGTTAGACAGCAAATACAGAACACTAATCGGTCGGCTCCTTGTCAAAGTCACCGCTTGAACTGAATTCAGACGAGTGTACCCTAGGCTAAACTTAACACAAATTGAAAAGGGGGGGTAGATAAATAATTTTAAAAAAATAGATAAATGAAACATGCAGCCAGAAGTTCTCTACATTTCATGCTAGGTAAGATTTACAAGCTGCTGTCGTCGTAAAACCAAAAGAAAAATAAGAAAATTAAAAAAACACTTGACTCAGTCTTAAACACCGTTTAGCTAGATTAAATCACTTGTTTTTTCTGGTGAAAACAGCATGCATTTCAAACTCGCTATTAACTCAAGAAGCATTTTTTACTGCATTTCCAGACTATGTTAACTTTATCTAGCCAAAATTCTTCAAGTGAAAACACAGCCACATAAATTCTGAAGTTCAAAATTTAATAACTTATTGTGTTGCTACTTACTGTATCAAAATCATGACAACAATGAAAGGAACCAGGTAAAGCAGATTCAAACTCAAAGTGGATCAAAATCCATCATTTCCGAACTGGTGACATGAACTTTTGAACCCTCAGAACTTTTTCTGGTTCTTGAAATTTTCTGAAAATAAATTTTCAATCGACAATATCAGTCATTAATAATAGGGTTAAAGCTTCCTATGCAGCCACTTCATTAGACCTTGAAAAAGTGACCCTTAATAAAGCTAGTTGCTAACGAATATGGGCTCTCATAAAGAACCATAGATTGAAACAATAGAACCTGGTCTCTTTTGTGATTTAAGCACAAAACTCAGGACATGTTAATGGTCATTCATGGTTTTCTCAAAATTATATATAGTCTGAAAATGGCTGCTCAAAGTGATATATGGAAGACATGGTTGCCACAGATATCCTTTTTCAAAACTCCCTGACTTTTTCCTGATAAAAAGAAAATTTAAATGACCAAGGAAATACAAAATGTCACGTCTAGCAGCGGCCTCTTCTTCCACTCATTCATTAAGAGTGAAAATTTTCAAGAAATTTTCCTTCGTTAAGGTAAAATCATTGTCCAGATAACAGTGACCCCAAATGTTTCTTCCCATCGTTAATGGTATCGAATCAGCCGTCTTAAGTCACTTCAATTTTCCCTGACTTTTCTTCAAAATATGAATTTTATACCACGCCATAGCAAATACAGCCAATCAGAATACAGGGAAGCTATTTTATATTTGAGAGTATTACATCCAACCTTCCCATTATGCACCATGAGTATCTTCAACATTGATTCTGTTGGCCACTGTAGTTCTATAGCATGGTATAAAATAGTTATGCAAATTTGCTCTCTCGTGGTACACCGTGAAACATCCCACTTGTCACTTGTATTTTCTCAGTATAGATACAAGACTTTACTTGTGGGATTTAATTCCATGGTATACCACTGGAAAGCATTGCATAACAAGTATTTATCTTGAAATGCCGTCTGATGTTTTCTATTGTATTGTGAAAGAAAGAAAACAAAGACTCAGAATAGTGGTACTGCATAACTACTCACTGTTTGTAACAAAGAAAAATACGTGTAAATCAGAATGACAAGTGCATTACTGTCAAGTTGCTTGACTGCGTAGAATTGACCAGTTTAGTAATCCAAGCCTGGTTATTTTCTTAATCAGTATAGAAGACTGAATTTATATGTATTTTGATTTATTTACAATTGGTGTTCATGTAACTGCTGAATGAACTGACTGTGTTTGGATGTTTCATGCAGAAACTCCCAACCTTTTCATAATAAGTCAAATTATTCTTGCATTCTGATTGGTTCTTACTTATGATGAATGAGAGGACAGATGTATAGAATGACATCATCAATCTCTTTTCGATTGGCTGGATATATAAAACAGATAGATTCCATCTTGCCATGCATCTGTTCAGTAACTGATCACAAAAGACATCAAAGGTGGTAAGAACACTAGTGGCACACTCGGCTATTGCCTTGTGTGCCACTTTTTTGGTCTTACCACATTATGATGCTATCTGTGATCAACATACCGTTTTACAGTTGTCTGCTTAGTGACCAGGCTTTTAAATAACAGAAAGGCTGGAGGTGACTTTGTTTTGATACAGACCTCACTGCTTTTGTTGTGAAAATCAAGTTGTTCTGATGCAAACTACTTTCCATTTAATGAGAAAATTAGATACGTTTGCATCGTTCATAGCTAGGTCACCCTCAACTTGCATTTATAGCCCAGGAAACTGAGCACAAAACTGCAAAATGACTTATTACTCAACAAAAACACAGCAACTATTTGTTAGCTTGAGATATGATGAAAATCCCAACTAAAAACCTAAACAAGAACCAAAAACCTTTTTTTTTACTTAGGGAGATGGAAGACAAAGACTTAACCCAAGAGACGAAGACGCATTGTCATCAGTATTGAGAGCGTCAAGTCCTTCCCCCATCTACCCAGCCATCGGAAACATGAATTTATCAACAGACCTCACTCAAGTTAGTAAACTGTCTACATTTCCTTT